ATCTTAAAGCTTGTTCCCTTGTCTTTATTTGGATGAAAAAAATATACATGTATTTATCTTGAATACAAGTCGGGATATTTTGCGAATGAAGGAGGTGTGGGTCACTTGTTTTCAGAGGTAAAATAAGTGAGAAAATGGCCGCCAAAGATTAGTTATTTCCTTAGCTTAAGAGTCCGTGGTAACTGAAAATCTACATATATCTTGTGCCTTTAATCAACGTTTTTCAGAAAAATCCACACAGAAATGAGTTCTTTAATGGGCAGGAAAGGTGTTGAGCCAAAAAACAAAAATGTGATAAAAATTCCAAAACCTGCGGAAAAATGCAAGTTTCTTCACTTTGATTATTTTGACGAGAGCTTGATTCCTCCAGGCTGCCTCACATATCTCCTTGTTCATCACTTCATCACCATCATCGTCATCATCTCATCACCATCATCTCATCACCATCATCATTGCTGTTGTTGTGTTCATCTAGTTGTCTGCTGTACATTTGATGAGACATTCTTCAAAGGTCGCTGTTGAAACATTGCAACTGCCAGAATGTTCTATTGTTAATTTGTACAATTGTATGTTTTGTTGGGTTAAAAAAAACAACTGTACTGCAGTCTGCTGTGTGTGTGTTGTCTAGTGTTCAGCTGGCATGTGTGGTGTGCTGGAGTGGCAGCTACTTCTCTGTCACATACAGAACACATGAGTGGGAACAAGCTTTAAGATGAAAGATGAATACCAATATAGAGCTCTACTTACTGAAAAATTGACAAGCGTATGATTCCTGGGTATCGTGACACGTTTGATGGAGTGTCCGTGACTGGACGCTGGAACAGAGGCAAGGAGCAGAAAGGGACATTTTTCCTAATTTTTATCCTCAAGTGCTGAAATTGCTTTTCTTAAATTTTTAAGCTATTTTCCAATGAAATAGCACATGTGTCTATGTCATATGTTCATTTTTATTTATTTATTTATTTGTTTTTGTTACTGTAAAGCTTGATTTCATTCATAGATGCTCTGTGCTTGTGTGGTGTTGTGTTGTGCTGAGTGGGAAAATGTTGAATTGTGTGGGGAAATGATGTATTGTGTGAGGGCGTGAATGAAAATTGCTTTGAACATTTTGGACTTTGTATATTGTTGTATATATTTGTGTGTGCGTGTATTTATCAGCATTAAATGTTTCTGACCGAAAGCGAAATATGTGCTGTTGTTGTTTCCTTGATCTAAATGATATGAAGACAAGCAACTACAAGGCAGCCCTTGAACAAACACCAATATATATATATATAACTAGCAGACCAGAGAGCCCTGTAGCAGGATTTAGAAATACATCAGTCTTGTGCACTCAGCTACTGGGATTGCAAGATTGTGTGTGCTCAATAAACAAACCTCTCCACTCAGGAATGGAACTCACGCAAAGAACTCACAACACGGACACAAGGTCCTGTAGCTATATATAGAAATGTGACTTCAACTACATGTGCGTACAAATAAAAAGGGATGTATCTAATTTGTACAGAGGCTCGGGTATGTGATGTTTGTTAGTTGAAGGCTCTGGGGGTACTGTAGGTGATGTTTGTTAGTTGAAGGCTATGAGGGTAGGTGATGTTTGTTAGTTGAAGGTTATGAGGGTAGGTGATGTTTGTTAGTTGAAGGCTATGAGGGTAGGTGATGTTTGTTAGTTGAAGGTTATGAGGGTAGGTGATGTTTGTTAGTTGAAGGCTATGAGGGTAGGTGATGTTTG